AAAGCATTCGATACCATTAGCTAGGGGTCACCAATTATTTTCCGTAAGGGTCCGTTTCGAAAACCCTCTACACTTCTGCGGTCCGAACACTCAGCACGAAACCAGGCAGTGGTGTAACCGTAGCGGGGGCTACCCAGAAACTCTCCAGTAGTTGTAACCCCCCCTCTCATTAGATCATCCTCGTTACGTGGTTGAAACCAGGCAACTCTCGTTTAAAAAGGAGTACTAAGGGGTACTTTAGTTTATTTCAATTCAAAATGAATAATTACAAGTCTAAAACTAAAGGCAAAACTCCTAACAAAATTAAACTATTGGTGAGAAAAATGACACTTTTTATTTTGTACAACCTGTCTGAAATTTAGGGTAAGGTTAGTGCAACTGATTCTCATTAGGGAGCCGAGATGTTATATGTCAACCGAGATCTGTAGCGATTTTTAAATAAAGTTCATTTCTGAAAAAGCGGCTTCGAACATATAAGTTGAGCCAAACATAGTACAGAGTTTTATTGCCAAATATTTAAGTTCTGGATATTTTTTGTCACACACATATTTAATCCAAATTTGTCCCAGGCAAGCGTTTCTGGAACTTGAGTATAAACCTTCTTTAAAGCGGAATATTCCTGATACTCAATCATTTGCATCTGAAGGGCAGCTTTGATACTTTTAAAAACGTCTGCTGCTTCGCTGGTCCTTACACCATTAGGCTTAAGTGAAAAACTGTTGCTTAACATTTGCACAACGTGTTGTGTTGACAGCTTCCCTATTGTAGTTTGCTAAAAGATTATTTTTAGGTAGATATTTTGGAAAACCGTTTAGTCAAAACCTATTGTTTAGATTTCGAATATTTCTATAGAGTATTAGTACTGTGCATTTTTAAAATGTAAATATATTTATATATTTAGATTTGATTATAATTTTGCGCTATAATTTTATTACTATATTTTAAATTGGCGGTCCGCAAAAAACAAGTTCACAGTCCGGATGCCAACCGCGGTCCGCCATTTGGTGACCCCTGTCATGAGTTATCAGAAAATTGACACGAGCATTGACAGAATGCCGAACAGACCATCGCTACCATGCCACAGCTAGCGTAAGACTATATGAACAAGAAACAAATAAATTCTGTTTACAGCGAGGAGTATGGCAAGGAGACACAGTCTTTCCAAAACTATTCACGACGCTTTTAGAACATACTTGTAAGAAGGCACATCTGAACAAACATGGTATCAACATAAATGGAGAGAAGCTCAGTCATTTGAAATTTGTAGAGGACATCGTCCTTATAGCTGACCGTACGAATAATACAATAATAATGCTTGAAAAATTATATTACGCTTCCTTGGATATCGGACTAAAGATTAATGTGATCATGACGCAAATAATTACTAATCTGGTGCTAAATCAAAATATTGCTGTTGATGGGAGGAATATTGTGTAGACTACATCGTATAAGTACCTATGACATGAAATTCGGTTGAGCAGAGATAACGATTAGAAAATAAACTGTCCGAGATCTTCACAGTCGAAAAAGGAGTTAGACAGGGTTGCATATTGTCGCCGGCAATATTTAACATATACTCTCAAAACATCTTCAGAGAAGCCTTGGATGAATCAGAAGATGGGATTGCTGTAAATGGCAAACTTATAAACAACATTAGATATGCAGACGATACAGTATTGCTGCAGATAGTGAACAGGAGCTCCAGAAATGGATAACGTTGTAGAAGCATGTAACAAATACGGCCTAAAACTTAATTGCAAGAAGACAAAAATAATGATCATTAGTAAGAACACCGGCATAAACGCCCAAATTATAATTGACGATACACGGTTAGAAGGGTGGAAAATTGGGTTGCAATATTTAGGATACTTGGGACCACAGCTACAAAATAAAAATTTGTATTGAAAAAGCCAGAAGCTCTTTCAAAAGCCTTAGGAAGATTCTGTGCAACTTATCTTTAAGCACCAATATACGCATAAGAATTCTTAGATGTTACGTCTTTAGTGTCCTTCTCTATGGAGTTGAAAGCTGGAGCCTTACAGAAGATGCCATAAAACGATTGGAGGCATTTGAAATGTGGTGCTACCGACGTATGTTAAGGGTTTCATATATACACCACACAAGTAATATAACTATTCTCCAGAGGCTAAGAAAAGACAACGAATTTATTAACACCATAAAAAACAGAAAATTGGCTTACTTCGGCCATATCATGCGTAATGATAAATACCGACTTCTACAGTTGATTCCACAGGGCAAGATTCAGGGTAAGAGAGGCCCTGAACGTAGACGTATATCCTGGCTGACCAATCGTAGGAAATGGACAAGTCTAACGTCAATTGATCTATTTCGAGCTGCTGTGAATAAAATAAGATGAGTCAATGTGGTCACCAACATCTCTAGAAGATAGGCACATTTAGAAGAAGAAGAGATAACCAGATATGTGAGCTCCCACTTCGCATAGGATTAGTCTGGACAGCGTTTGGTAAATTAAACTATGTATTTAAATCGGACTTACCTATATGTCTTAAAAGAAAAATCTTTGACCAATGTGTACTTGTCCTCACTTATGAAGCGGAAACATTAACACTCACAAAAAAGGTAGTTAATAAGATTCGCGTGACTCAAATGGCTATGGAGCGCCAGATGTTAGGTGTCTCTCTGAGAGACCGAGTCATAAATGAAGAAATACGTCGTAGATCAAAAACAACAGGCGCTATCGAAAAAATCGCGTCGTGGATTTGGACAAAACGTATTTTAGAATGGAGACCAAGGCAAGAAGCAATAAGCGTGTTAGCAATAACTGGATGCAAGCCGCATACGACAGAGACAGATGAAAAGAGTTGAGGGAGATCTATATACAGCAGTGGACGCAGTTGATGATGATGTTGTTTGAAAAGTTCTAAACGTTTAACATTCCTTTCCTCAGGATGCTTAGCATCCAGCACAACTGAATTCAAGGTATTCAAGATCGGATGCAATGGAATTATGACCTTATGAAAACATGACCTATGTTCAGCAGTGGACTTAAAACGGCTAATAATGATGATCTTGACTGGTGCCGCCAAAATAATTTTGTAATAGTGACCCAAAATAAATTTAGGCACATATTCTAAGTTTAATAGAGGCTTTAAGTTACCTAAGAGCGAAAATTGGTAATAAAGCTGACAAAGAAATTGCAAAGATATTGAAAATAGATTTGGAGTTACATAGAAGACGTGTCCAGGCCATGGAAGATATGAAACAGGACATAGAAGAGGCTAAAGCTACGTAAAATTCAATGTTTATTAGCTTTTATCTACAACAGGCTATGCCAGGGCCAAATTTAGCAACAGAAGCAGCGTTCTATTTGAGAATGGCAAGGGTTTATAACTTCGGCATCCATGTGGCAACTTAGTGGCATTGCCTACATGTACATGTGGCCAGATATATATTGTATATAAATATTTTAAAACTAATAGACCCACTGCTGATAAGCTTATAGTGTATACAGATAACTACACAGAAAAAAACAAAAATTAAAAAGGCGTTTTACTTCTACTCAGCGAAAATACTTGGTAGTAAGATGTACGAGTATACCATGTGACAGTGATTTCGCAGTTATTGAAAAGTATGTCATAGGTTAAAACAAGTGTCTATTCCAGACTATTGGAACGAAGCGATGAGAAAATATAAAAGAAAAATTGTGTTGAGGTGATTGTATTGAAACAATCTAATTGTTTTTCTTAATTTTTTTTTACTACAAAGCAAAATTACTAAAAAAGCTATAACTAAAGAGATGGCAAAGAAAAAGTTCACTTTCCAAATTATCAAGCCTCAAGTTTTTGTATAAACAATCTAAGATAATGTAATTCCAACACCTTATAAATAAAGACTATAAAGCAGTTAATATTGGGAAAAAAGGAAAAAAATCAATTTTACTTTCCAGAAATTTGAACTCAAAATATAGTGAACCTATTTCACTAAACAGAAAAAAAAATGAAAATATTTGCCAGTTCTTAAAGTTTATTTCGCCAGCATTTATAACATTTTATGAAGAAATTGGTGCTGGCCAACAGATTCTACCAGATGCTGATAGTGATAATGAACCACTAGAATACATTGAACATTTAGCTGATATTTTAGATATTTAAAATATTGACAACTGAATTATTTGAATTGCTCATTTTTAGAATATACTTTTTTTATATAAAAGGGGAGAAGCCTTGGATTTTTTTAATATTAAAAAACTCAAAAACCTTTAAATAAACATAGTACACGTACATACTTCCATACGAATGTCAATCTTACTTGGATTTGGAAATTGGATTTAACAATTTGAAAATAAGTTCAAATTAACATAAAAATGTTTTCTCCAAAATATTGTTTGTGGCATGTTCTCTTCTGATCGCAAGATCTTCAATTGTCGAATGAGTTCATTTTCTCTAGAACAGTGGAAAAAATTAGAATTATTTGAATTGCTCATTTTTAGAATATACTTTTTTTTATAAAAGGGGAGAAGCCTTGGATTTTTTTAATATTAAAAAACTCAAAAACCTTTAAATAAACATAGTACAAGTACATACTTCCATACGAATGTCAATCTTACTTGGATTTGGAAATTGGATTTAACAATTTGAAAATAAGTTCAAATTAACATAAAAATGTTTTCTCCAAAATATTGTTTGTGGCATATTCTCTTCTGATCGCAAGATCTTCAATTGTCGAATGAGTTCATTTTCTGTAGAACAGTGGAAAAAAATTGTAGACAAAGTGAAAATTATTGATGATGATTTTATTTCAAAGAAACCTTTATTCAATATTGCCATATAAACATGTAGTATTAATATAGGTGAAGATTTTGATAACTAAGATATTATACTCAAATACAGACACTGATGACAGCGATGAGTATTTGATTTAATTCAAAATATAATTTTTTATCACGACTCAGTACTTTTTATAATTTATGTATATTATGGAAATTTGCAGTACTCAGGTAAATTTAATTAGATTTAAATCATCATAATACATTTATTTTATCATTAAATAACAGTGTTTTACAAATTGTGGAAAATTTACAAATTTTAGATAATTAAATGCAACTACACAGTCACTGTATTAAAAAAAACATTCATGTAAAAAATATTTCTGTACAAAGCATTCAGTCAATATGCATAGGAACCGTCGAAACTCTGTTTTGTAAGCTACAAACGAATTCTGCATCCCTCCTCTGGTTTGCGCCTAGCTCTATTGCTATCCTATGCACACAGTACCTTTGAAAGAAATAGAATTTGAAGATATTAATGGTGTGTATATATTTAAAAAATGATATGCCTTAAATAAATAGCTTTTAATCAAAAAATAATTTATTAATACTGATTTAATAGCTATGGATAATGATTTTTTATGTAGTCAGAGATCTTTTCTCCGATCATAATACAAGGTACACTGGGATGTCCTGTAGAAGAAATGGGAAAAATACTGGCGTCTGCCACCCTCAATCTCTTGATTCCAAAAACTTTCAAATTTGAATCAACAACAGCACCTTTCTTCGGACTTCGACCCATTGGACATGTAGCCATTGGGTGGAATGCGGTTAAAGTAATCTGTCGTAAGTAACAATACCAATACTCCTTAGATTTAAATACCAGATGGCTACAATCTGGTAACGGATTACTCAAATAATTAAGACCCAAGCTTTGATACGCTTTGCTCTCTGCTAGTTTAAAAAGAAGTTGAATGCTTTGATACATCTCATCAATATCTTTATTTTCAGGGTCGGATAGAAGATTTGGGTTTATAATAGGATATTCAAAGGGATTGCTGCTCTTTAATCTGATAGTACCTGTAGATTTTGGATCTGTGTGAATCACACCAAAGGAGAAACCTGAAGTATGATTTGCCGAAAGAGCTTCAGAAACGTTGTCTTTTAGAAGAGTAATACTTTTTGTTAAAAAGAGCGAATTTGCACTGACGTCTGTAAAAATTTCTAAATTAGGTACACCTTTTCTGGTGTTGTTTTCAGTTTCATAAAATGCTACACCTTGTATTGTTGTTACGCTGGTGAGATCACCAATGCCTTGTAGGTAGTCCTGCAATTGCTGTTTTAAATCTTGGGGAGGAAGAACAATATTTGTCGAAAAAAAGATATTTGCCTCTATGTGATCTCGTGATTTACTTCCTACTTCTAGATCTTGAATAAGAGATATGTTAACTTCTTTAAGATGTTTTTTAGGACCTACTCCAGATAACATTAGTATTTGTGGGCTTGCAATAGCTCCAGCAGAAAGTATTACTTCCTTTCTAGCCTTTACCCTGTAAGTGGTACCTCCTTTTGTGAACAAGACGCTTTGTGCTATTTTTGTTTTCTGATTAATTTCTATTTTTATTACATAACTTTGGGTCAAAACTTTGAGATTAGTTCTATTTAGATAAGGAATTATATAAACAGAGCCTAAATCTTGCCTTCTACCTTTTTTAGTATATAATTGAAAAATAGAAGCTCCTTTTTGTTTATTGCTGTTGTAGTCGAGTATCTCAGCTCCTAATTCAACGTTTGCGTTAAGAAAAATATCATTGAATATAATATTGGGTATTTTTTGTTGAACTTTCAACAAACCCCTAGTTCCATGGTAGTCAAGATCAACGGGTGCTTCTGGATTGGTCCAATTAAAATTTTCTAATTTTTTGAAATATGGCAGCACATTTTCGTAAGACCAAGATGGGTCGTTAGATATTCTTGCCCAAGTATTATAGTCGTCTGGATGTCCCCTACTCGATATCAATGCATTTATCAAAGATGTACCACCAACTCCCCTGCCTCTGGGAATATTGCATATGCTATTCACAGCTCCTAAAAAATTATATTAATATTGTATTAGAAAATATTTTGTGATTATTTTAAAAACAAAATCAGGTATAACAATAAAATTAAATGAATTATGACCATAATGTTAAAACTAAATATTCAGCTCGGCGCTGAAGCTAATGGGCTTAAAGTGTGATAATTTCAACTTATCCTTCCTCTCAAATAGACCAGGAATATTAATAAAAAATTAAAATTTTTAAAAATTACTAAAAAATCGTTTTGTTTTTTTCCCTTTGTTTGCTTATAACTTTAAAATGAATTAGTTTGGAGCAAAGTCGTAAATAAAATATAAATAAAATAAAAAAGATAAAATAGCGATAAGAGAATTTTCTATGAATACGACTGGTTAAAAATGTTTAAATTTATTACCCCTGCTGCAAAATAGCAATAAATAGAAAAAAGTGGGAGAAGTTTATTTTCCTTTTTCTTATTCAATATTTTTTAACCTTTAGTTTCCACTGAGCATCTTCATGCTTAGCCTAGAAAATCTTTATAACATAATAAAACAACCCACCAAATTTCATTAAACTCTATTTAAGAGATTTCGCATAATAATCTTGTAATCTATTTTTTTTAAATTGAAATCTTAAAAAATCTTGCACAGCAAAAACTAGGCCATATAGCAGTTTGTCAATTTTTTGCTTATAATCACTCTATCTAACGTACTTTAACCGAAGAAATTGAGATTCTTCGAGGTGTGCGTCAGGGTTGTGTGCTTTCTCCACTATTATTCAATATATGTAGCAAAACAATATGTCAGGAAGCGCTTCTAGAGCAAAACATTGGTATGGACATTAACGAAGCCTTAATTACCAATATACGATACGCTGATGACACGCTAATAGTAACAGATAACCTAGCAAATTTACAGTTTTTGATGAAAAACATAAACACCCATACCAATAAGTATGGTCTAAAACTGAACATCAAAAAGACTAAATTCATGATTGTAACAAAGAAGCTATACACCAATGTGAACTTAACCATAAATAATCAGCCAGTTGAAAGAGTTACGTCCTACAAATATTTAGTGGTTTGCTTCACTGATACTAATGACCAGACAAGAGAAATCAAGAGTCTATTAGAGACAGCGAGACAATCGTTTGTCAAAATGAAAAAGTTCCTATGCAGCCGGGACATAAATATAAACTTAAGAACGAAAATTTTAAGGTGCTATGTTTTCTCCGTTCTGCTGTACGGCATATAAGCCTGGACATTGAAAAAGATAAACATCAAAAATATTGAGGCATTCGAGATGTGGTGTTACAGGAGAATGTGGAAAATACCATGGACAGAAAGAGTAACAAATCAAGATGTTCTGCTGAAGATGGTGAAGGAATGCGAAGTCATAAACACCATACAAACGAAAAAACTGGAATATCTGGGCCACATAATGAGAGGAGAAAAGTACTCTCTGCTTAGACTCATAATCCAAGGAAAAATCTCGGGAAAGAGAAATGTGGGACGTAGGAGGATTTCCTGGATGCGAAATTTAAGGGAATGGTATGGGTGCAGTTCAATACAGTTGTTCAGAGCTGCAACCAACAAAGTAAAGATTGCTGTGATAGTAGCCAACCTCCGATAGGAGACGGTACTGCAAGAAGAAGAACGTACTTTATGGAATTGAAATCAGATTATTTGGGCGGCCTCAGGAATGTTTTAAAATTATAAACAATAGCTTAGAAACAAATATAGTATCTCGGTAATTATTAGCTGAAATTAAATTCAGAAGATGGTGTTGGAAAAGACTAGCCAAGACGCTTTTTTTTTAAGAAAAAAGTACTTACGAGCAGTGGTTCCTGATATACAACCGGTCAAAATTGACCGGCATTTACGACGAAGTTATAAATGATAGGATGATAATCTTTGAACGATTACCTTTTTCTTTCGGAGCTCCTTCTCCCTAAAAATGTTCGTGTCTTTAAGATATTTATAAGATATAAATATTGTAACGATTATCTTGCCTACCATATAGGGTATTATTATAGGGGTTGAAAATTGGGGACAGAAATTATTGGGGTGGAGATAGGACAAGAAAAAAAAAATCGAAACTTTGGCGAACGACTATTTAGGGGCTACTTCGAGAACTAGGTCGTGGATAAGTGAATGACAAGAGGACTGGATTGGGGCAACTACAAAAATGAAATAAAGGGGTAATTACATAAGTCTTCTGGACAAACAAAACACACGAAGGTCCTCAAGCTATTTAAAATAAGGACGCCGCTTTGAGGAATCTTCCTGCTGGATAAAAGAAAAGCCTCTTCCTTCCTAAAAAACACAAAAGGGATTATAAACTTTTTTAACAAAAGAAATAAACAAAATGATTTAGTGAAAAAAATTTCACATTTATTACTGTCTCACCACAAACAGTTACATATATAGAGAATAACTATAAAATAGAAAATATCAACAACAGACTAACTATGTCCTATCCGTTTACAAAATCTAGAAGTTGGAGATACTATAAACATTTTTTAAAGACAAAAACAAGGTCTTAAGTATGATTAGGTACTTACCAAATGTCAAAAATAATGCTAACTGTCATATGTCAAAATCTTAAATACTAAATCTTAAAACTGAGAACAATTAAAATGACAGCTAAGCCACATCCACAAAAAAAATAGGTTGAAATTGGCACTGGACAGAAACCTTGGAAACTCATCTCCTTAAAAACTTAACAATGGAACATGTGGGTATCTTTCAAGTTTGTTGAAAAAGCGCCGTTTTACAAATATCTCAGTTAAGATACGTCATACAAATAAAAAAAACAGTGATTACTCTTATCAGAACTAACACATTACATTGAGTAGAAATCACTTTTTCTAACAAATTTTGCCGGCTTCTTCAAACTACATACACCGACGTCTGTTCTCCAAGACCAATCTTTTAAACCTAAGTTTTGACCTTCCTCGATCTGTGTAATCAGCTTCTACCGTTTCCCTTACCCCGCGTATCAATTCAAGGAACGGGCCAACCCAAAATTCTTGATAAACACGCTTCTCATCGTATCATAAATGACCTTGACGTACAAATATAAACCAAATATGGACTAATGTCGAGTGTAAACAAAGACACCAAATTTTATATACAGCCCAGGAGCATACCAAAAAAATTTTTATTACTTGAATATTCGATAGTTAAGGAATTTATTGTGCTACAATATATAAAAAATTTAATTTGAAAATTGAATTTCAAAGTTTACAATCGGTATAAGTACGTAAAAAATGTACTTTCTCGGCTTTCAATGGAGCAATTTTCTTCTTTTTGGTAATCTGATGTAACTTGAATAGAGACACTCTAAAACGCATTATCAAATCACAAAGATGGTTTAGTTTTGTTATAAATATATAAATTTATTTATAATCCAGTTGTCAGAGACGAAATGGACCGTTGTCTTAGAAATAACGCTTGAAACGACTGGCCCTTTTGAATGTTAGATACGGTCGCACATTAAATTACTTTAAATAAAAATTATTGCACCTCGATGGTAAAAATTCGATGTCCAATGATCAGAGTGTCCTATCGACAAAAATCAAAAAGCGTTTTAAATACGAAGAGTGCTACTCTATTATACAATTCCATAAATGTAAGCAATATTTGTTATTAGCAAATTAATTTCGTAATATCAAAAATCGTTTAAAAAACCATTATATTTAATATATTATTTTAATTTTTTTGGTGGGAACGACTTAAAGAAATCATTCAACAAGGAGCCGAGTTAGCACTACCAAAACACTCTTAAAGAAGACAAAAATATTGCTGTGATAATGATTGTAAGAGAGCGGTTAAGGAGGGGAATAGAGCCAGAATAAATAGCATAAGGAAGAATAATTTGAACAATAGAGACATAGATGCTGATTTTGTAAATAACACAATCAGAAACTTCTACTAAGAAATAAAAAGAGAACGAAGTCAATATAAAACCTCACCGAAATGTTATAAAGATAAGGTATTTAGTAGAAGGAATAGACGAAAAACTGGGCAGATGGGCCATATATTTTAAAACTGTACTAAACACCGATGGGGAACAATATCTTCAAATACAGGAGCCACCAGAAGAAACAATAAACCGGAATAACAATTAGAAAATACCAACAAAGAAGAAATAATATACATAATAAAGAATTTAAAAAACAATGAAGCACCCGGTGACAATGGCATCGTAGCAGAGTTCCTAAAGGAAGGTGGCCAAAGTCTACTCGAAGGAATCATGGAGTTGATAAGTGAAGTATGGATCAAAGAGTGCAATATTGCCATCAAAAACAGTGAACAGAAGCCCTGCTATGCCCGATATACAAAAAAGGAAATGGCACGGAAAGTAAAACCTACAGGGGTATAGCATTACAAGACACAACGTATAAATTTATAGCTATATCGATCGGAAATAGAATTAATGTCAACATTGAAGAAAACCTGCGTAAATATCAAGCTGGTTTTAGAGTAAAGAGAGCAGTAATAGAGCAAATTTTTACAATTTACCAATCCTGGCTAGTTCATATGAAGTCAATCTGTCACTAAACATGTTGTTCATTGATTTTCGACAAGCATATGACAAAATAAACAGACATAAATTAATTTACAAAAAAAATATTTTGATATTTCGAATAAAATAATACGATAAACTAAATCCCTTCTGAATGAAACCAAAAGTAAAGTTATAATAGAAAGTCATGTCCCTTACAGCTTTAATATCACTAGAGGCCTACGACAAGGTGATCTCCTGTCTATCTCCTGTCTACTGTATTTTTTAATCTAATACTGGAAATAATTCTAAGAAAAAGCCATGTACACACTAAAGGCTCGATCTACCACGACAGACATCAATGCGTAGCATACGCGGACGACTTTGCCCTAATAACAAGAAGACCTAATAACAGAATTAAGAGAAATTTTTAAAAGACTAGAAAATAGCCAGGGAGTATCGGCTGGAAGTAAATTAAATAGAAACAAAGTATATGGAGATGAGAGAAAATAATAAACATTTA